TCAAAAAAGTGAAAGGGAAACAGCTTCTTCCCTCATCAGTAGAAGAGTTTCATTGGAAAGAACTAATTTCTGCAACTCCATTGCCTACTTTTATACTGCAAGTACTGAGAAAGGCAGGTAATAGTAAGACTTTGAAGATGGGATGAAACAAAGAAAAATGGATCAAAACAAATCTGGAATATTTCAATTGGCTTATGACAAGCATGTTACTTAGAAAAAGACACAAAGGAAAAATGGGCATTTAAAATCAAACCTTAGAATTTACATTTATCCAAAAAGAGGAAATCATAGAATCATAGAATAGTTCAAGTTGGAAGGGACCTTTAAAGGTCACCTAGTCCAACCCCCTGCAATGAGCAGGGACAGCTTCAACTACATCAGGTTTCTCAGAGCCCCATCCAACCTGACCTGGAATGTTCCCATGGGTGGGTCGTCTACCACCTCTCTGGGCAACATGCAAATGTTTCACCACCCTTATTGTCAAAAATTTCTTCCTTATGTCTAGTCTAAATCTGCCTTCTTTCAGTTTAAAACCATTACCCCTTGTCCTATCGCAACAGGCCCTGCTAAAAAGTCTGTCCCCATCTTTCTTATAAGCCCCCTTTAAGTACTGGAAGGCTGCAGTAAGGTCTCCCCGGAGCCATCTCTCTCCAGGCTGACCAACCCCAACTCTCTCAGCCTGTCCTCACAGGAGAGGTGTTCCATCCCTCTGAACATTTTTGGGTCCCTCCTCTGCACCCGCTCCAACAGGTCCATGTCTTTCCAGTCCTGAGGGCTCCAGATGTGGACGCAGGGCTCCAGGCGGGGTCTCACCAGCGCAGAGCAGAGGGGCAGAATCACCTCCCTCGACCTGCTGGCCACGCTGCTTTTAATGCAGCGCAGGATACAGTTGGCCTTCTGGGCTGTGAGCACACATTGCTGGGTCATGTCCACCTTTTCATCCACCAGTACCCCCAAGTCCTTCTTGGCAGGGCTGCTCTCAATCCCTTCATCCCTCAGCCTGTATTGATACTGGGGGGTTGCCCTGACCCAGGTGCAGGACCCTGCACTTGGCCTTGTTGAACTTCATGAGGTTCACACAGGCCCACTTCTCAAGCTTGTCCAGGTCCCTCTGGATGGCAGAGGTATGAGATAAGATATGAGGGCATTCTAGGTGCCTTGTCAACATGTGGCAAGGCAATATAAATTATAGCTTGGAATGGCCTGGTATTCCTGCATCAGATCATTTAGTCTATTAAAAAATCCTATGAAAGAGTAAAAAATAAACTGAGAAAACACACAAAGCCCTACATATAAATTTGCCTGTTCACTGGCAATTTCCTGGGTTCTGTTCTGCAATTCTTCGCTCTTTATCTGACTGGAAGCACAGTTATTAGACAGATTAAAAACAGCATTATTTTTAATCAGACAATGAAATCTAATTATGAAGCAGAAATCAGTAACATTTCCTACCTTTCCAATTACATAGCCATTGACAAGCGCAAGAGCAAGTCGTGGCATCTGATGACTGCTGAATATGCATATATTTCTCCCTTTGACATTTACATCAAAAAGACCTAAGAGTTAAATGAAAAAATATAGAAATATGAGAGTATATTAATTCATATTTGCATTTAATTACAATCAATAATTTATCATTTTCAAGGGAAAAGAATGAATCAAGTGTTTAACTCAACAGCTTGACCTCTCTGATCAATGAATCCCCTCAGCCCTTCAGGAAAGGGCATCTAGAGACTACTGTCTACTTCAGTGCTTTGAGAAGTAAGACGCTGAGAGCTAATGATAAGGAAGAAATTTCTTTTGATCAGCATATATGGGGTGTTTTTTTTTAAATCCATAAGAAGGAGCTGATGACTCCAGCAAAATGAACTGGGCAATAGCAATGAATTTCCATGATAAATAATAGATCATGTAGGGAACACAAAGCTTTCAGGTAGGAAAAGAGAATTCATTTTCCCTGTATCCCTATTAGAACTTGTAAAGCAAATCTTCCAGCATAGCTCATGGCTTCTAAAATTCTAAGTCCGGCCAATTTTCCATACAATTACCTCTTATAGCTACAAGATACTGATGAAAGGTAAAGTAGTTGTGCTGGTTTTGGCTATTTTCTTCATAGTAGCTAGTATGGGGCTATACTTTGGATTTGTGCTGAAAACAGCGTTGATAACACAGGGATGTGTTTGTTATTGCTGAGCAGTGCTTACACAGGGTCAAGGACTTTTCTGCTGCTCACACCGCCCCACCAGCGAGAAGGCTGGGGGTGTGCAAGAAGCTGGGAGGGGGACATGGCCGGGACAGCTGACCCCAACTGACCAAAGGCGTAGATATTCCATGCCATATGATATCCTGCTCAGTAGATAAAGCTGGGGGAAGGAGAAGGAAGGGGGAGACATTCGGAGTGATGGTGTTTGTCTTCCCAAGAAACCATTACCCATGATGGAGCCCTGCTTTCCTGGAGATGGCTGAACACCTGCCTGCCCATGGGGAGTGGTGAACGAATTCTTTGTTTTGCTCTTCTTGCGTGCACAGCTTTTGCTTTACCTGTTAAACTGTCTTTATCTCAGCCTACAAGTTTTCTCACTTTTACCCTCCTGATTCTCTCCCCCCCACCCCGCTGTGGGGGGAGGGAGGAGTGGCTCTGTGGTGCTTGGCTGCCGGCTGGGGTTAAACCACGACAGTAGTGCCATTTTTATTGTTCCCAGCAGCAGCAGATGATTTTTTTTAAACAGCTTTTCTACCAGTACATTATGTTGCCCATTTGTAAGGTGCAGTTGTCTCTGGAGGAATCCTCTGGTGTCCATAATGTAAGAGTTTCAGGGTGTCATTAGGGCCATGAGAATTATACAGCCAAGGACCATTGTGCCTCTCTGGATGATGCCACAAATCATAAAATACAGATGAGGCTTCTAGCCCTTCAGGCAAGATAGGCAGGACACGTAACTGTCACAATGGATCTCTGCTTTCAGATCGAGATAAAGCTTCCTGCGAAATTAAAGACCCCCTAGACCAGATCATCATCTACTTTGCCATCACTACTTTGAAGGCCTTTGAATTATATCATTTTAGATCTACTGAAGTCAAATAAACAGTTCTACCGGTGTCTGAAATGCAGTTTTTTATTAGGAAAGATAGGTAGATAATTTATGTCAGAGGTCTTTATTCCAAATTACACACAAGGAAGCAGGGGCCCTAAATGAAAATTTAAACAACGGTTCCCAAGTCAGCACTTGTGGACTTCTGTTGCACATGACTGTTCTAGACACTTCATAAATTACTGCACATGTAAGCAAAACAAACAAATTTGAAAGAGGTTAAGAGAGAAAGATACTGTTCTGAAGGCAGAAGAGTTGCATGACAGGTGTCTGCATTCGTTTTGTAGTTGCATTTTTTTGTACTCCAAATTCTAAAAAAGAATACATGGTTATTCCTGTGTCACTAACTGTTCCTCTGATATCAGGGCAACTTTATCATATTGTTCTGAAAAATCAAGCTCTTTCTGATTACCAGTTTAATTCCTAAGTATTGCTAAATCCTTGGGAGGTTGCAGATCACACTACTCATTTTTTTGGCAGCCAATTTATACCAATTTTGTTTTGATCTTTCTTTCTAATATATTTAATTATATTTATCATCTTTAACTACTGATATTTAGTAGTTGTGCATCAGATTTGGTTCTTGCACAATTATACACATGACTTATTTAAAACTGTAGAGATAACACTGATGAATTTTACATCTAGCATGTAAAAATGTACCAAAAAGGTACAGAATATAATAACAATGTCGCATGTTTATGTCAGAAAAATACCGTTAGAAATTAATTCATTTTATAGAAAGAAAAGTGCATCTAGATTAAAACCTGGAAACAGTCTCCAGTGTGAACTTGAATGCTGCATGTTAAAAGATTATGAACTCTGCAGTGTCTAAATGATCTGATTTGTCTAAATCAAGTCAGATGCAATCCATCAGTTGAATACGCAGCATTAAAACACAGCAAAGATGTGCTTACTGCATGAGTGCAGATTACAGACCAAATTCCTACAAGCAGGTAGTTTGGTCTGTCACAAAGTAATTTACAGTTTGTGATCCTAAATAGATCTCCTTGGAGGAAGGACACTACCATGCTGTGCAACCGCTTTCAGACATTTAAGACACTTGCAAATCCTAAGGCTGGAGATAGGAGATTTGAGTTAATCTGTGTTTGAGTTAGCAAATACTTTGAAATAAAGGACCAAAACTGCTAATAGGAAGACCTTTAGTAAAACAGAGTAACAGCCACTTTCTATATTTCTAATATTACTGGTCTCCCATATTATACATTTGAGTTTTCTGGCGCAACTTCTCTAAGGTGCCTTTATAGGCTACGCTAAGGAGTATTGATTGCACTGCTCTCCATGCACTCTTTGGCGTGTCCTGAAAGATTCTGCTCTAGCACATAAAAAAGATGTGTGTAAGGTCCCTGGGAAGATGTCAGAAAGGCTGAGCAGCTCCATCACTACAAAGATAACATAAATATGTGTGCCTAATATGATACATATTATAGTTACGTGTTAGTAACACAGTAGGATGGAAGCTGATAAAGAGGAGGAACTGGAAGAGTGCCGTTAAAATCAATCACAAGGATGGAATAAAATGATTTTTTTAATCTATATATACATATACACTCCCTATTAATGAACTATACCTGGAAATTTGAATTTCTTAGCTTAGATGGATCTAGTTACAAAAGACTGTAGCTGTCCTTGCCATGGCAGTTCCATGGGAGCATTGAACTGCAGATGACAAGAAGTTTCTATTTGGCAAGCAAAAGCCAGTGACAAGTTACCATATGAGATTTTTCTTGTGCTTTATATGTAAACCAAGCATATAACTTCTGAGTTCTTACAGTCATTAATACATGTATGTATTTTCTACGTAAATATTTTAAGTAAGGAAAATGTTTATTATATCTACTCCTATTCATTACAGGAATCACCATATGACATCACAGTGAACTATAAAGTCCTTCTTTCTCATCTCTTTTGTGCATATATCCACATGAAAAATACTTTACCATATTTGTTTTTCTTGTCACCAAGAGCATCAACTCTGTTATCTGGACTGAGGCAAATGAAGCCATGGGTGAGCTTGTTGTAAAACTGAAGTGTATTGCCTTCCTGAAATTTCCACTTTTCAGCAGCCCACTAGTTTTGTAAACAAGCAGAAAAGACTTATGAGAAGATGATACACAGGAGTTTGATATACATGAGAACAACTGACCTGATTTCACTCAAAGCATAATTTGAATTGTTTAAATAAAAATTAAAATGTACATTCTTACACTTTCCTCTCTCTTGAGTTCCAGCTCTTGTCCTGTACAGGTAAAAAACATGTAGTTAATTTACAGAGCATCCTCATTCCATTTGACACAGTTGCAGTGAGGCTGGGTTCTTGTCCCCACCAGTTTTCACTTACTGCCTGGAAATGTGCTGGCGTCTGTCACAGTCAGTTCTCTAGCAATATTGCCATCATCCTGCCCCTGGTCCAGCCACCTAAAAACCAGAACCCATTTCAGTGATGTAACCTTGACTGGCAACTCCCACAATACTGTATACATGGCACTTGCATACCGATACTTCCTCTTCTATTCGTTAAAATCTCAAGGCTGACAAACAGCAATAGACAAATCTGGTTTTAGTGAAAAGAGATCGACTTTGGGAAAAGAGGTTTTGTTCGCTTGTTCTTGATGAAACTTATAAATAAACGCTTTACTGGGCTGAGGTACAAGGGCCTAAGACAATTATTACAAATCAGAGAACTCATATTGATCCCAGATCAATAACAAAAGGTGCAGTGGTCATTATGTTTGCTCTTCCTGTCTGCAGGAAGGCTACAGCAGGATGCAAATTGTTCCATGCCCTGAAAATCCCTACACAGGGAGGCAAATCCAACACAGGCAACAATCTTACCATGTCTGAGCTATACTTGTACAATGCCATTGTACCTGCTTCACATCTACTTACATAAGTTAAGTCTAACTCTATTTGAGGATTTACACACTGTGGGAGTAAGATCAGCAAGCACAGCGTCGGGCTCTAGCAATAACTAGCACATACCCTGTGTTTTTCTGCCTGAAATGGATTTGAACTTTCCCTAAATTATGTATGAAGCTAGCATTATAGATCTCTTCATAGCAGTTCATCTCATCTGGAATACAGAATCAAAATTAGGTCAGGCAAAGATGAGGTGCTGTATCTGATAGGCAGAAAGCCCTTACTCGCACATAAATCAGTTTCAGTGTGCACATCGCTCACTCCGAGCTGTCTCAGGCAGTTATTTATTCACTCAGGGAAGTGAGTGAAGGAAATAGAATCGAGGTGCCACTGGCAAGCTGCAGCTAGATTCATACGTGACTGGACTTTGCCATTCCTAATATTTGCACTGATCTTTATCAATTATAATTTTTCCATAAGGTGTTGAGAATTAATCAGGCGTAGATAAAATTAGAAATGAGCTATGGAAACAGAAGATTCAGAGCAGCAGCATCTGCAGGGAAAAAGGCAGGGAAGTTAGGGTTGCTTCAAATTACGTTGCAGCTCAGTGACAGGCTGCAAGGCAAATGAGAAAAAGAGATGTGGTCGGGTAGCTGCGTTTGTGATAGCCATTTCACAAGATCTTAAAGCCTTGCATCGCATGGTATGGAAGAATGGATGGACCTGCTAGTGTCAGATCCAAGGTGTTGGATATGGGGAGTGTGTCAAAAAAGGACATCTTGAATAATTTGCAAGGTGCAATGATAGAAAGTTCCCAGGCAGAATGTTTTATTGCTTTTTTGTTAGCTCAAATGCACCAGAGATTTGGGACAGGTACAACTCAGCTGTAAAAAGAATCAGACCATTTCAGCTCACTTTTCAGGAAACACATATTTCTCTTGACAGGACATCTCAGAAGAAAAACTATGAGTAATTAAAAATTTATTACAAATCTAACTCAAATGAAACACCACCAACCTGTGACAAAGAAAAGTATAATCCAAATCTGTTATAGGATCCTTGATTACAACTTTGTCCAGAAACCAGCCATTTCCTGAGAATAAATGAAAAAAAATAAGTTACAGCAATGCTAATTGACCTAAAATTATAATAGCTCATTTTATCTATAACACAGACTGCACAAGACATATTCAATGTCCTATCATGCAGACATTGTCCCCTCTCCACGGTTTTTCCATAGGGACTAGTTAAAAAGGACAGAACAGTAGCAGATGCTGTCCTTAACATAATGTTTGAGAGTATAGTGAAAGTGGACACAAACTATTTGAAATTTGTGATGATACAATAAGGTAACTGTGTCACTTGAATAGTTTCCTTAGAAGCCTTTGTCTTTCACTTCTAAAATATTTTCATACATTCAGTTTTAGAAATACATATTGTATTTCAAAGAAAAGATTAATAACTTTACAGGCATATCAGTGACTATATAGAGAGATTTCTGACCTGATCCAAGACCACTGTGTCCTATAACAATCTTGTTCAAATGTCCAAGGTGCACAGCTTCAACAGCAAAGATGTCAGTCTGTAATCAATCAACAAAATTTCAGTAAAATCTAAAAAGCAGAACATTCTTCAGCTGTGGAATCCCTAAGATCCATAAACCTATAGAACTCTTCTGTCAAGATCATCCTTTGAAATACCGCCTAATGATAAGGTGAGAAAAAACCAAGAAGGACAGGTTTCCTGAAATAAAAATAAGCCTGATACTTTGTTAATGGGAGTAGTTCCATTCAAATTAATGGGATCAGAGTCAGAAAAGAAACTGCTGAAAGTTTAATTGGCTAAACAACTACAGATTACAGCAGATTGCAATGTTAGAAATACATATATAAAATGTAGTTTAAATTTCTCTTCACTTATTAAATCAAAATTTTAAAAGAATCAAAAATAAAAGTACACTGCATACCTATTTTATAAATGAAAATTTTATTTTCCAGAAACACTGGTATACCTTTACAAAGTACTTTTTGCTTAATTATGGAATTTTTGGGAAACATTGGAATGCCGTAATTACCTCTTTTTTAATTGTACCTTGCCTGGGATAACCACCCACCTGAGAGAGAAAAGCCAGCCAAATATATCAGAAAATGCCCTGTCTTTCACTTACTTGTCCTTTTAAAAATTTCTTGGGTTTCTGTGACCTGAGCAGCTGCCTTGATCCTGTATCCCCTCTTTCTCCATAGACAGAAATATAGACATCAGCCTCAGTTCCAGCGTTCCACAGTTCTCCGGTTGTCACATGCACTTCATAGATAGTCACTGACAATGAAAGATGACAACTGTTCATATCACAAACACTATTATAGTTACAATAACATCTAGCTGTGAATGTGCCTGTAGGGTCCAAATACATCTGTGTCAAGGACAATTAAAGTATAAAACCTTAAAAATCCTCTTCAATATTAAGTAAAATAATGTACAAACTTGTTCTGGTGTTACATTTATGCTTCTTATCCCAGACTGTCACTATGGGGAATGCTAACAGAATTGAACTTTAAATGCACAATAGTATGTCTTCGTCCTGTAGCATCATTTGAAATCATCATATAGCTGAAAAGTAAATAACATAAATCCAAGATTAGCCTCACCATAAGTGGTGAGATCAAAACTATAATAAGCAACAGGAGCCGTTAACATTTTGAATGCACTTGTTAATCAAAAAAGCAGAAATCTAGCACCATGGTTTTCGTTTTCTAGGACCTCAGGACTCAGAAAGCCACTTTGTTTTATTATTTTATTGAATAAGATAGTATAGTGTCATTATTTTATTGATAGTATAGTGTCATTATTTTATTGAATAAGATAGTATAGTGTCATGGTTTAGCCGCAGCCAGCACCACGCAGCCACTCGCTCACTCCCCCCCTTCCCCAGTGGGATGGGGGAGAGAATCAGGAAAAACTCGTGGGTTGAGATAAAAACAGTTTAATATGACAGCAAGAGAGAAGGAAACAACAATGATAACAATACTACTACTACTAACAAAGAACTCGTACAAGAATGAGTGATGCCCAATACAGCAATTGCTCACCATCTGGTGATCGATAACCCAACCCCGAGCAGCGATTCCCTGCCCCCGGCCAACTCCAGTTTATGTACCGGGCATGACGTCATATGGTAGGGAATACCTCTTTGGCCAGCCTGGGTCAGCTGTCCCGGCTGTGTCCCCTCCCAGCTTCTTGTGCACCTCCCCACTGGCATGGGGGAGCATGAAAAGTCCTTGACTTAGTACAAGCACTACAACTACTTAGCCACAACTAAAACTTCAGTGTGTTATCAACATCATTCTCATACTGACTCCAAAGCACGGCGCTGTACCAACTATCGGGGGGAAAAAAAAAACAACTCCACCCGAGCCAAAACCAGGACAGTACAGTACCCAACCTTTATTTCATAACATCTGGAAGCCACCGAGGCGAAGGGCTACGCAGCGAAG